AAACAATCTCTGTATAGGTTTTGTAATCATTTGGAGCTCATAAGCTATCTTAAAAGCTCTTAGGTCATTTGAAGGAGCTTGAGTTGCCATGGGACTCTTCAGAAAGAATAGATCATGGAAAAATACTATGTAATTTGTAGTAGTGTTCATATTTTTGAGAGTAGCAGGCTCTACTATTTTTGAATCATTCGGATGATAGTTCTGTTTCATTTGCAGGACAAGAAGGTCACTTATAAACCTGGCCTCATGGTGAGCTCCCGGCTGCTTAAAGGAGAAATTAGGTATATCTGCACCCAGGAAGTAAGTCAGTAGCTGGCAAAGATACTTGTAGTCTCCTCTTTATAAAGTATTTCTCTGAAGTGCTGTGGTGCAAAATTCTTTATTTTCAGCTGCAAGTTGGTACAAAAGACTACCTGGTCTAAATGCAAAAAAAATTCTTTAGTTTTAACTGCAAGTTGGTGCAAAAGAGTACCTGGTCTAAGTGCAAAAGAGTACCTGGTCAACTCGTTTCTCTGCGCAGCAGCCTTGTTCGTCAAGGTTTATGTTTTGGAGTTATAGAGTTGAGAGAGGGTTATAACCACAAACAAGTAGCCTCCTCATCTGTAGTGGCCTTCTCGGCCTTGAGGAGGTGAATTTAAAAAAAAAAAAATGCGTCCTGAAACCATTCAATTTTGAAAATATTTCAAGTTTATTAACTTCTCTATGTATTTGTGGCCATAGCTTCTGAAGTAAAACATAGAGGTATTTGCTGGGACTTTTTATTGCACCAAAAACGAGTTTTATGATATGAGACACATGTCTCTCATATATGTGATGTCTGCACATTAGCCATAAAACAGGCCTTCCCAAAGCATGAATATATTTATATTTCTTATAACTCCATTGTTCTTTCCTGTGTTGCTAGCTGTGGTGTCAGCACACACCCCAATGATTTGATCAGATAGCTCATAGTATTCGAGGATACTTTGAATGGCTACAGCCTGGTCGCTTCCCTTAGAGCTTATAATTTTCAAAATACCAAGCAGAAAATCTAAAGGGTCAGCTTCTGAAGAAGAAACGCTTATAGCTATCCTTTCATGACTTGCGGAAATTTCTTCTCTGATATACTGTCTTACGATTTTAGTATCAAAGTAAATCACTAGCTTTAAACCCCTTACTTTGTTCATGTTCTGCTCTCGGATGATCTGAGCTTCTGACTCTACTACAGTGTGTGTTTTTCTAGTCAGAGTTGATTTTGAGATCTTTAAATCCTCAATGTTAATACCGCCAGCTTTAAAAAGAGATGTCAATAAACAGGTTCCTGGTCGAACATCAATACCATATCTTGTCATGATTGGGATCCAATTGTTTAGGAGTTCATCCATACTTAGCTGAAGACTAACTTTTACTTCCCCTGAAATCTTTTGGGTCTTGGTAGGAGGCATTAAAGCTTTCTCAGAGTTTGGAAGGCTATCACTGTCTGTGAACCAGGAAACTTCAAACTCTCTTTGTTCTAGTTCTTCTACCTTCCTTTTATTCTTTTCTTCTTGTTTTTTTAGCTTTTCATCTTGTGAGCGCATTTTTTCTTCCATTATTCTAAGCATTTTTTTGAAATGCGTTATCAATACCCACCATCTTCACCATGCGCCCTTTGAGAGCTTTAGGAACTCAATGTCTTCTTTTTGAGCCTCTTTGTTCCTCATTGGATCACTCTTTATCAAGCTAAATATGTTGGCCTTATGAATTGGGAATAAAAAGTTGCTTTCATTTAGGAAGTTGTTTATTTTCTTGCAGTAACTTCCTTTGGTTAGACTTAGAGTCTTGAGTCTTTTTAGGGATTGGTATTCATTGATCTTGTTCTTAATTTTGTTTTAGATTTGCTGCTCTGTGAGTATATAATTGTTGTTGAATCCAGCTTTGCCCCATAAGTTTACTACTTCTCTCAAAATGCAAACACCTCTGATTGTCTGTCACCAATTCTCTTGACACATTCCTTCAGCTAACTTGCTGCATTTTAAATAACTTTTTTCAGAAGTAATGACACATCCAACTTTACAGTTCATCTTGGTAGTGCTAAGAATATGTCAATTGGGTAAGTAAAAATAAACAGATAATATTCAGAAAATTTTCAGACTTAACCTAGTTTCTTTTCTAATGTTGAGCCAGTAGAACCTTCTGAACAATTCTCCAGTCGTTGGAAGTTGATTTGGAGCAAAGCTTTGCAGTGGAAAGCCTAACAAATAAAACTGTCTACGCTTTCTTGCAACCAGTCTCAAATCTCCAGCTGGCTCTAGTATTGTATTGAGGCATTTTTTTCCTGAAGCCATTTCTGAAAATATAGCTAACAGTACAGTTTATAAAATTATACATATTTATAAATTTATAGTATAAATATAGCTTACTGTAGAGTAGTTTGTTTCGTAACAGCAAATAATACTATTTAAAAATACTTTTTTTTTGCTAAGCAAAATAAATGCGTATCATAGATAAAATACACGTGTTGTTTTTTATTATAATTATCTACACTTAAAAAGTTATTCAAAAAAGTTGCTTAACAATTAAAAAATATTCTTTAATGAAATGAAAACTTACTTATAATGTAAAACTTTTATGTTAGCACGCAGCTTGATAGTTAGGAGAGTTAGCAAGCAAATCTTTTTTTTTTTTTTTTTTTAATGTCTTATTAAAATTATTAAATATATTATTTTTTATTTTTTAATGATTTTTGTTATACATTATAAATGAAAATATGTGAATAACAAAAAAATAATTGTTTTAATAATTTTATTACAACATTTACTTAAATAAAAAAATGTGTTTACTAAATTCTCCTAATGTAAAAAAGTTATTGCAAAATAATAAATTCGTTTCTTCTATTATACAGAAACAAATAAAATCTCCTTCTCTAGCTTAGAGATTTGAAAGGCTGAAATTTTCACTATAAGCAACAAATACATAATGATAACGATTGAACTTTTCACATTTTGATTTTCAAAAAAAAAAAATTTTTGAGACATCCTAATATATATATATATATATTCTAAATATAAATGTTGTCTGTATTTATCTGGGCATTTATTTGGAAAAGAATCCTACTCAGTATCTGGCACAAAGGAATTACCAAAGTGAATTACCAAGGAATTACAAAGGAATTACCAAGTGGCTATTGGAACTTTCTACTAAAAAGTGGCACAAAGGAACTACCGAACTGCAAAAGAACCGCTAAAAGAATATTTTTAAAAACTCATGTAAAGTTCTGGAAAATTCATTTAAAACTATTTATAGAAACGCAAAAATGATTTATAAAAAACAGTATTAGAGTATCCGTTATAAATTAGAAGTGATAAAATGATAAATTAAAACAGAGCTGAGAACTAGCAAAAATTGTGTTAAATAGTTGTAAATTATAATTGTTTCAATAAACTAATATACTGAATATCTTGTGGTTCATTTTCAGAGCCAGTTCCTTTTACACTTATTGAATCAGATAAGATAACACTATTAATTGTTTGGAGGAAATCTGAAGATATATACTTGTTTATGATTTCCTAGTTACGTCATGATTGTAAATAGAAGTTTTAAAATAAACTGATCTAACTGAACTGCTTGCTAGAGAATGCCACCATGAAATAGTACAGAGACCTTGTATTGCTATACCTTAAGATAAACCCTGAATGGCCAATTGTGACTTAGCAAACACAATCTAATTATTATTAATTTGTGTATACTTTATTTTGATATTGGCTTGAATGTTGGTTTGAAGGATAAAAACATAAAATTAAGAACAATGGGGAAAGTTGATAAAGTCAACAAATTTTCAGCTAGAACTATTTGATTCAGTAGGAATAACCTAATACTTATGCTATTTCAAGAAAACCTAAATTATCAACAATTGGTTGACCATGGTATATTTTTTTACTAGAGAGTTTGGCCGAGTAAATTTAACTTGTTCAAATAACTTTTATACTTGCATTTTTTTTTTTTTGAGAAAATATTTTCAAATACTTTTTTAAAAAATATTGTGGTTTTCAAATACTTTTTTAAAAAATTGGCTTGCAATGTTTCTATGCAATTGCGCTTATTTAGAGTATCCACTTGAAAAGTGTTGATTAATTATAATCAGTATAAAAAGTTTGTTTTTTGATGTAATCTTCAGTAGCTCAGTGGTTTAGTGCACTATCCTCATTTTTAATACAAAACAAAAAAGTTTAAGCAAAAAAGACTTTAAACTGTAAAAAGATTTTTTTAAAGTTATCAGTTATTATATCAATTGATAGTTGGTATACATATGTTATACATGACTATATTATACATATATTATACAACCAACTGACATTTACACTTACAGATATTCTTAGAGTAGACCTGGGCAGGTTGGCCCAGTTGATTTTATTCAAAGACTATGCGCTTTAGTGAGCTGGGAATCTAGGTGAAGGATGAAGTTTGAATCTAGACAATGGTTGGTAGTAATTCAAACTTTTTTCTAAAAAAATCATATTTATAGGATCATAATTAGAGGTGTGGGATTATTTAAACAACTTTTGATAAATCAAATTAAGTTTGCCCTGTTTTATACCTCTAGGCCAACTTACCTTAATAACTAGCATGTTAGCTCTTCAGTAATAACCTAACAAAAGCAATTTAAAATGTATTAAAAAACAAGTATGAACTTTTAATAATGTTACTAAAAGTTCATGCACGTCAAAATAAACGAATGAGCATAACTACTACTAACACTGTTAAGTTTATTATATTTTTTCACCAGAGACCACACACAAACAACCCCCCTTTAAATTCAACGAATCTAAAATTTATAAAACCCAGACCCCATAAACACAGCATCCCAATTCTTTTTATCCACCAAACCACCTCCCCTTTGTTTTAATTTAAATAAATAAATTTACTTGTGTTGCATATTTTTGATCAATTAAAGATTAAGTGTGAGCATCACATCAATTAGATGACTGCAATATTGTTACAAATAGCAAAGGTTTAAAGAAAAGCAATACAAATTTAGTTACCTTACTATAAACAAGAGCTATGCAGCATGAAAGTCCACTAAATAAAATATGGTTTATAATTCAACACTAGTAAACAAAAAAACAAAACATTCTTCAAAAAATTTTTATTATAATTACAACCGGCCCCACCACCCCAGAATTATATATATTATTAAAATGTTATATAATACTATATATTATAATGATATTTAATATAGTTGGTTAAAGCACTGCTAGAGTTCGGAATAATTATTGGCTGTAGCAGCAGAAATGCAGGTTTAAATCCCGGTTCTGCCTACTCAGCGTATGAGTAGTACTTTGGCACGAACTCTTCTCAATTAGCTCTGCCATCAAAACACCCCCCCCCCCGACTAGCAAACAAACAACCTAGTTTAGTAAAACTATTGTTTTTAAAAATTATAAACAAAACTACAGTTTAATACTATAATACTATATATAAAAAAACAATGTTATATATATTATTATTATATTCTGATGAGTTTTATAGATAAAATACAAAACAAAATGAAAAAAATTTGATAAGTGATTTCGTATTAATTTATTATTGCTCTGTTCTTTTAAGAACATTGAGCACTCTATTTTGTATAATACAATTTTAATTATTTGTATATATATGTATGTATGTATGTATGTATGTATGTATGTATGTATGTATGTATGTATGTATGTATGTATGTATGTATGTATGTATGTATGTATGAATGTATATATATATATATATATATATATATATATATATATATATATATATATATATATATATATATATAAATAAATAAATATATATATATATATATATATATATATATATATATATACATATATATATATATATACATATATATATATATATATATACATATATTTACAGGCTTCGGCAGGAATAAAAACCGTACGGGCTATGAAAAGCCCGTCTTAAATAGACTTGACGGGCTATGAGGGCCGCCCGTCTAGATGGTCTTGCACGGGCTTTTTTAAACTTTAAAAAAAATTCTAAAGTTTGAACTTTTTTTTTTTTAAATTTGTTAATTTCTCTTCTTCTTTTTGAATGAAAATGTCATTGAATATTAAACATTTTGTGAATTGCACTAAAACAATATGTTAGAAAGCGATTAACTGTTTAAAATGCTTAATTACTTAAGTAATTAAAACACTGCCGTAAATGAGTTGGATAATACTTAAAACTAAGATTTCAATAATTGTTTTTCAAAGTTTTCACTTGCACAGATCTAATTTCGTTTCACGTGGGTTAGTTGTTTTATGGTTGCTTTTGTTTAAATTTCTTACTCGAAGGAACTTTATTCAGTTTTTTATGTTTGTTTTTTTTAATCTTTATTCCAGATAATATCTGGCAGATATAGTCAAACGAATGAACGTGAAAACGACGGGAAAAATCCTCGAAACAACCATGGCGTTTCATCACGTTTCCTTATTCAAGCATCCTAACGTGTTTTTTTACCGAAGTCTTTTTGAGTATATTTATATATTATTGTTTTATTTAAGTATTCGATTAAATTATACAGGTTTTTATTGTGCTTTTTTAGTTCATTCGTTTCTCTTATTCTTTGTGAATAAAAATATTACATAATATTTTCAAAATCTAATTTTTTTAATTATTCAGCAAATAGTTTGAAATCTTTTTTTTTTTTAACCTTGAATCAATGAGCTCGATAGTTTTAGAATTGTTTGGTAATAGCTTGGTAATATGATACGTAACTATGTTATTTTTCAAATTCAATTATTTATATACTCTTGCATTCTATTGGGCGTGCAAATTAAAAACTTAAACTGTTATTTATATTTTTATAACTTTGCTTTACCTATGCCTATCCTGATCGGAAATAGTTATTCTGATACGTGAATAAAAAATTTGAAACCTAATTTCTTTTAATAAAATAAGTTTTTATTTAGAAGTACTAATAATTTCTTAAGATACCGGGGCTTCCGTTACTTTATATACAATATAAGCATGTATATAAGCGTATGTATGTTGCTAGCTTTAACGTTCGTAGTGCCCTCTATAAATGCTAATGCTTTTGATTTTGCCAGACCTTTTAACTCGCAAAGCAATTCTTTTTTATATTTTATACAAACCATACACCATATCTTCACAAAAAAAATTGTTCCATTCTCCACCTCAGTTTCTTTTCCACAGACTCCATCTTTACCCCAACTCAAAAATGTTGCTAATGTAACTCTTCTACCAGATGATGCCATTACTATCTTTACTGAAAAACTTGAATAACTTGAAAAACTTGAATGACTGGATAACTTGAATAACTTCATAACTATAAAGCAACACTATTTATATTATCTACAAAAATTGATTAGACGTTTGTTGATTTTTAATGAGATATTTCATTTTCAATAACGAGTTATATAATTGCATATTAAATAAACTGCCGTCTCTTTAAGAAAAAACGTGAAGTTAACGCGGAAGTTAACGCGGAAGTTAACGCGGAAATATCACTTTAAATGTCTTTAAAGTAAGACAAACTAGTTTATCGGAAAAAAGCGAAATACATGGATAATTAGTTTATTATCGTTATTATTATAAACATTGAAAAACCAAAACAACATGATACTTCTTGTGCATCACATGTGTATATTTCCCTATTTAATATAATAGTTATTAAATTTTGAACATAATATGGTAACTGTTTGGTATTATATCAAACAGTTATCGTCGTTTAAAAAACTGTAAGATTTAGTTATATTATTTTCTACATCATGTTATACAATAATGATTAAATTGTTTAATTTTTATATTTAAATATAAACAATTATAAGTTGGAGTTTGCTATCCATATTAAAATTATGTCATGAGAGAAGTTTTAAAAGAGTATCTTAATAAAAAAACATCAAAATATTCATCTTTTTTTTTTACACAAAACTTATGTTTCAGACGGGCTTTATTTCGCCCGTCGAAACTGACTTAGACGGGTGCGGAGACGGATACGGGCTATAGCCCGTCATTCCTGCCGAAGCCTGTATATATATATATATATATATACATATATATATGTATATATATATATATATATATATAATATATATATATATATATATATATATATATATATATATATATACATATATATATATATATATATATATATATATATATATATATATATATATATATATATATATATATATATATATATCAAACTGTTTTTGCCGATCTGATGCTGATCTCTAAAAGATTGAGGACCTTATTTTTCCTAATTCCGAGGGTTGTGTATATATATGTATATATATATATATATATATATATATATATATATATATATATATATATATATATATATATATATATATATATATATATATATATATATATATATATATATATATATATATATATATATACAAATTTATTATTAAATTTTTTATTTATTCTAAAATCAAAACAAATCAAAATCTGTATTTTGGGCAAAAACTATGCCCACTTTTCTACAATTATACAACTTAAAATTTAAATTTAGCAATTGCAATTTGAATGCAATAGTGGCACAACGATTAGCTTACAATCAAAAGATTTAAGTTTTAAAATAATCTAAAGTCTCTAGATGACCATGTATGATGATGGATGACCATGGATGTACTATGTCTTATGTCTCACCATGCTCATTCTGTTTCTTCGCCGTTTCAGAGTTTTTTTTTTCATAAAAATTTCTTAAAAGTTTCTTAAAAATAAAATCTCTATATTGTAGCTAAAAAAATTTTACAATAAAAAAACTTTTACCATTAGTTTATTTCTTAACCTTTTCAGCTTTTTATGTGATTGACATTTGGATCAAAATATACTATTTAGTACATTCTGTTTTGAAATGAAATTGTTTTTGGATGTCTGAGATACCTTATATCATCAAATATAATAAATTATGTTTACTTTCATCTCTCGATAAAATTTTACCCATCTTTTCAAGTCCTATTCTGTTAACTCTTGCTAAGTGTCAATTAAATGCGCCAAATTTTACTTAAGTTCTTTTTAAGATTCAAATTAAATCATTCTGAATATATATATATATATATATATATATATATATATATATATATATATATATATATATATATATATATATATATATATATATATATATATATATATATTTATTTATTCATTTATATTAAATGAATAAAAACAACTTTTGATGGAACTCTGAGTTTCATGCTTTTGGCTGATGACTGCTTTTGGCTGATGACTGCTTTTGGCTGAGTTGTATGCTTTTGGATGATGATTGTTTCACAATGGCTGATGATTGCTTTTTGACAATCATCAGCCATTTCGTCTCTTAAAAACCGTTTAAAAATTACAAATTAAAATTACGGTGCAATGAGTTCTAACGTTACCAAACAAAACAAAACAAGACAAAAAGAAGTCAAAGGTTTTAGTCCCCGATATCAAATAAGGATAGTAAAAATTTTTTTAAATGCCGGCACTTGGATATTATTTCATATCTTTTATTAAGTAAGTTTTCTCCTTTATATGATAATATGTGAAACTTCTCGCGGAGACAAAGATTACAAACTTTTGATGCTTGATTGTAGGGCTTACATTGTGCTATTATCTTTCATGTAATCACAGTATTTATATGTTTCGATTTTAGCTCCCATATTTCTTTGGAAAGTTCAGTGTCATTTTTATATTTGGGTGCATTCAAAGATTTAAGATGGTTGGCATATCTTAATTTAAATGTGGTTTCACTTATACCGAAATAAACTTTATCTTTGCATTGAGGATCACTAGAACTTACAGTGGCTTGGTATACGATATTGCTAAAAAGGCATTGGTTATTTAACGGACAAATATTTTTGTCTGTGCAGTTACATTTTTTGATGTTTTATTTTTATCGCTATGTAAAATTTTGTTATTATGTGCATTTATTAAAGACTTGACATTAGGCATGCAACTATAGCTAACTTTAATATAGTTTCGATTAAAAATTTTATGAAGCCTGTGTCCTACTGGAAAGTGTTGGTCAATTAAAGCTAAAAAGCAATTTCCAATTTTAGTTTCAACATTTTTGCTAAATGGGGGGTTTGTAATAGAATATCGTATCAGCCTAGATTATCATATCCCCCATAAGAAAATTGAAAACGCAGATGCGATTTAAAATTATAGTATTTAGAAGTGCACCGAAGTCATCCGAAATGAAAAACAAATGAGTTTTTAAATATATTTGGAAGATTTTATTGATTTATAGTAGTGGGAAAATATTGTTTTCTACATATGAATTATAATGCTTTAAAAAGAGTTTAAAGAGTTAAAAGATGTTGAAATAATACGTATCATATCATGTGTTATTAGGTCAATGGTATTCATATTATTTTTACCATGGCCAATGCATGGGGATATGATATTCTAATCAACAAATTAATTTGATATACAAGGATATAATACCACGTATGTTGTCCTAGTTTATACAATACCTACTAGCATTTTGACTCTCAAACCTAGTTTGAGAATGCTATTATATATATATATATATATATATATATATATATACAGATATATATATATATATATATATATATATATATATATATATATATATATATATATATATATATATATATATATATATATACAGATATATATATATATATATATATATATATATATATATATATATATATATATATATATATATATATATATATATATATATATATATATATATATATATATATATATATATATATATATATATATATATATATATATATATTATATGTATGTATATATATATATATATATATATATATATATATATATATATATATATATATATATATATATATATATATATATATGTATATATATATATATATATATATATATATATATATATATATATATATATATATATATATATATATATATATATATATATTATATATATAGTTTACATATTTACAATGGAGGAAATATTGGTTAATTGTGTTTTATGTAAAAAATTGACCGATAATGATAAATATCATTTTGGATGTTATACATTATGGGAAAATGATCTTCTCAAAATTTGCAACACATGTGCAGGTATACAATTTTTTATGTAATTTTTAATTTGTCTTAGAATAATTATATATAAATCAAATAAATAGATATTCTTTCATTTAATAGTTTCTATAAGTGGTATATCTTACCAAGAAAAAGTTGTTGTAGTTAAAAGAGGTATCCTTGTCACTCTATATTTGTATTATGTGTTATGTTATGAGTCAGGCTATAAGATAGTCGATGTAGCAAAACCCCCTGGCAAAAATATAATTATTTTAGGCCGCGTAACTGTAGCTTTACCTATATATATATATGTGTGTGTATATATATATATATATATATATATATATATATATATATATATATATATATATATATATATATATATATATATATACATATGTATATATATATATATACATATATATATATATATATATATATATATATATATATATATATATATATATATATATATATATATATATATATATATATTTAAACTAAATGTTACTTCTAATATTTACCATATATATATATATATAT